AAAAAAGATGGTAAAAGACCATCTTTTTTATCATAGAGTTGTGTTGATTGGCTAAAATTTAATATCCGCATTTCGCAGCATGAATCTTCGACAAAATTACCATAAGGATTACTTGTAGTACTTGTGCACGATCTTTATAGCTAGCTAATTACACTGAGAAAGATGCTTGAGAGCACCCTAAGTTTAATTCATAAATCATGTGTTGACACAAGTTAAATCACTACCCCAAATTTGTAGATTTGTATCTTAATTTATATATATGTACTATATATTAGCATTTGATTCATCACAAAATTATCGAAAACCATCCGAAAGAATAGTAATATATACACATATTCATATATATCTAACATACTTTTGAAGTCTGCACTTTTCATATGTAATTTATCTATAAACACCAAAAATAAATAATTTCTAAAATTTTAAAATAAACTCGTACTATCATTTCAAGGAGATCACTGGAAACCATGGATGATATTTAAACTCAAAATTAACTACTTTATTAATCGCAATATTTTGTGATTGTGATGGTGTCGATGCTGTTGTGGACATTGCCAAAGATTGTTGTCGATTCTTTTGTTGTCGTTGCTTTTGTTGTTTACGTCCTTTCTTTTTTGATTCGCTATCATCATTTTTATTTGATTCATTGATCGATTTAAATTCATCTATAATCTTTAGCAAATTTATGATATTTGCAATGCATACGGCAAGCATGGCCCGGAGATCCTTTATTATGAGAACAAAATATCGTCATTAATCCAAATTTTAAGTAACTTGGTTAGAGTTTATGATATAGAATCATACTTTTATGAATTCTGCATGGCAATATTCCATCCTGGTGTCGGAAGGCTTCATAGAAAGTAAACTTTCTATCGAAGTTCTTGCTGACTGGAAATTCCGAAGAGACACATTAAAAAGGTCAAGTGTCTGTATAAAACATTTAGATATTAAAAGTTTAAAATATAGAATATCTCTAACTAAATAGATGATTTTATTCATCAATCCTAAAGTGAATGTATACCGTAATATTGTCTAACTGTGTCATCTCCTTGAGCTCTTGGAAAGTTAACATCGTTGGGCTTCCTAATGTTCGGTACACCTTAAATCTATGCCAAAAACGCGTACTTTCATCATCAAATTCTAATTGAGGTGGTTTAAAGTGCCCTGTTTTTTGGAGCGCAGTTATAATCTTATTAGTGCGAATAAAGAAGAGTAGTTAAGATATGTATATTTAGTGAACTCAATCAAATTATGAAGATCTCTTTAAACAAATTATCTTTACCCTGTGAATTCCACGACATATATCTTGCCGAGCCACAACAAATGTCTGACAACTTATTATTAATGACACAGATGATAATGAAGAGGGTGCAGACTGAAGACTCTTTTGTTTTTTGAACTTTTTATCGTCTAAAATAAAATATAAGAACAATTCGAAAGATATCTTAACATAATTATAGAAAATTCCATCAATTTTACCTGTTGCATGCAAATGTATCCTTTCTAGGTGTTGATAATGAACACCTAATAAATAATCAAGATACCTACAGATGAAAATTATTTAAATTTGAACATAATAAATAATAATAATGTAAAAAATATACGACTTAAAACTTACCAATATATCATTACAAATTCATGATTCCCGTATAATTCCAGCTCAAATCCAAGGAATAAAATTTCTTCCATCAGCATCAATTTGTGATGGTAAACCCATGAAGAAAAATGAAAAGAATATGATTGCCCTTCCTAAGGAAATGCTGATTAATTGACCTTGCTACATAAATTATCAGCGCACTATTAACGACACTTTTACCTACATCGGTCTTCAACGGTTCTTCTTTGATTATTGATTGTAATTCAATATCTATGTGCTCTGACTGATGAATGAAACACATAAATATACTTATAAATAAATGATTTTTGCATTTAAATGAAATTTGTAGCACATGTATAATTTGATTACCTCTTCTTGCAACAAGTCCCAATCCGCGAGCACTTTGCACATATTCCGTCGTTGTCTTGAACGATTATGACATAAAATCCGAAAATAGTCTGTCAATGGCTTGAATTGATTGTCAATATATTATAATAGTGTGATTAACTTGACACTTATTAAAAGAAATAATTACCTTCATAGTACTATCAACAAATGTATGTGTCAGCCTCGATATTTTATATTTTGTTTCATCAATATGTTCGCCATTAGACAATACATCCATTTCATTTTTGGATGCAAAATAAATGTATGGTGGATTCGTTAATTCTGTTACAGAATCTTTCACCAATTGAAATATCGATATTTTACCAAGGATACGATTATCGGTACAAACAGTTGACTGAAGTGAGATAATAAATAGATTAATCTCAAGCAACGGCATTATAATAAACAACGATTACAATATACATTTGAATACCTGTAATAACGACCTTGAAAAAGCGCAAGGTGGTGGCCGCTGCGCGGCGTGGTATATCAAAAATTTCTAAGGAAGAAGAGTTATTAAATGAACTCTGTGAAAAAAGGTCACCATAGTACCTACCTTTAAGCTGGTTGCCGATTTATAATCGATTATTTCACATATCGAGTTAAGACTCTTAAACATATTCAACATTTCGTCGATAGACTAAATTAATCGGAGCAAGGCATGTAATTAGATTGGTAATAACGATAACAATAATAGGGATTACTATAACATTACCTCCTGTATTGACAAAAGCCGAATTGGTCGTGGGGGTGTTTGTGATATTAGTTTACGATTGATCAAAGGATCAAAAGCTGATTAATAAGTAACATAGTAAGATTATAAAAATATGGCATTGTAGAAAACAATATGAACATTTTATAAGAAATATTACCTCCTTCGACTTCAATCCCTAAATCTAGCGTATTATTTATATTAATTTCACCTTTGGAACCATTCAGTAGTTTCATTGCAACCTCAATTTGATTTTGAGCTTGTTCATATTGCTGGCAGCGCGGTTGCGACATATGCATGAGGATTAGAAGAAAGGACTGTATAGTAATTAGGTCAGTTGAATTCGAAAATTTTATATAAAAAAAAAAAAAAAAAAAAAAAAAAAAAAAAAGATAAAATAAAAAACTTGCCTTTCGTAGGTTAAGTCTAGTTATCATTGCATGAATAATATTTTCACTTTGTTCATGTCCTAATACATATTAAATTACATATATGATGATCCAACACCTTAATACAAAGGTTAACCCGAATTATTTACCATGCGATCGAATCCATGGTCCACCATGCTGTTCTAACCAAGTCTCAGCATCATCTAGCAATTTTATGGCTTGTGATTCTGGGAAATCTTCGTATATCGAAATTCCATATTTATTTGTTGCAAAATCTTCTTCCTTAATGAAAGTAATGGATGTTGTCTTAACTACCAACAATTATAAAACCTATTGTAGAGTATATTAAAAATCTTACTTCATACACGTTTCCTTTTGACATTTCATCCAAAACTAACTGACAACATTTAACAGTGCCCATAACATATGCTTTAAGAACTAGTATAACAAATTCTATAGGAGCCTCTGTATTTTGATCGGTTATATCATTACTAGCATCTGTAGTACTTGAAAACAATTCCGGCACAAGTTCTGGAACGTAATGCAGATACATGCAAGTAAACAAAGTTTGAGACAGAGAATGGCCAGTGTGCCATGTCATCTAAGAAATAAAATAGTGGTAAACATTGTTTATAAAATAAAGATTAAATAATAAAACTACCTCACAAATAAATAATCGATCCATAATCCAGAGAACTTGTTCAGGTTTTAATCGAGCTTTTAATTCGAATGGCTTTTTGTTCAAATCACTATCAAGTATCATTCCACTATCCATTTTTGGGTCCATGATCTAAAATGTCATATAGGTCAAATACAGTACTTATTCAAAATGTAAATAAATAAAGCCTGCATATATAAACCTCGATTGAACTCATCGCATCATACAATCCAAATGATTCAAGATGAACGAGTTGACCGATTTCAAATTCTATTCTTTACAAAGACACAAAATGCAAGCTTTATAAAGATTTTATACAAATTCAGAGGCAATTTGTCAGATGAAGAATTAAACAGTACCATCCACAACTTCGTCTAAAAAAGATGTGATATCTTTGTATTTGTACATGGGTGTCGAAAATATTTTGCCCTTGACGTAAATTTAAATGGCGAAAATGATTTTTGACAGTCAAAATCGTAAATAATTATGTAGAAAATATAGTACCGAAAGTATTTCTGAATTTTTTGTAGATCTACCCGTAGATTTCCCGTAATAATTAACCAATCAAAATACATAATTTTTAAAATTTATCGTAAAAAAACGAAAAAAAACTTCATATCACAGATCAGATATATATAAATATATAAATCGATAAATATACACTAAAGAATTTATCACATATATCTAGAGAATGATAGACACGCGTAAAGTGGGTAAATGTTATATTTATTACTAATAAACCCAAACTCATTAAAGAACTTCAAGAACCAACCAAATCTAAACATTAACCAGATCTACTACTACTAAAGAGCTTGTATCTATTCAAATTAATCAGTTAAGCAATAAAAATTTAACGTAATAAAATAGCTTTAGACAAAAACGTTTCTAGTTGCAATAATATAATTTGATATGATCCAATAAACGATAGGTATATTTTGTCTTCTAAGCGAAGTTCTCTATTATTTTGTACCATGAATATTCACGCTCTTGCGAAGATAACGGTAAAAAAAGATTGTATTTTTTTTATTAGTGAAATGTTACGTTATCAGAAAGTTATAAATAAGTTACCCGGACAATAGATTTACATCAGCCAACCATCTTGCTCGTCTTTCATTTTCTTTCGGATTATTTCTGAATTTTACATTTCACGATCCTAATAACGACTGTCATAAATCATTTCGACAGTCTATAATACTGTAATACTTTGAGAGTTATAAGATTTTCGACAGTCAACAATAATCTCGACAGACGAAAATAATTTTGCAATAAACCCGAGAATACCTTGGGTAAAATCTATAGGTGAATAAATATATATACTTAAGGTTAAAGCGATATAAATGAACTTAAGTTCAGGAAATTGCAAAAACACACGATAAAATATTGGTTGAAGAGCCATTTGTTTCATTTGTCATCAAGAAGCGTCAGATAAATCAAGAACTTTTCACAAATCGAGACTTTATAACGTGATTATCAAATTTCAATATCACGTGCGGAACATCCTCACATCAATAAGAATGCTTCGAAGAGGAATACTGATTTTTTAACTTATAATCATAAAGCGCTTACTCACACGTGTACGAAATTTTTTTTTAAATACATCTAATGTAAGTTTTTATCATGGCATCTTACTTCGTGAATGCTTCGCGCCTCAATACGTTTGCTTTGTAGGGCTAGGACAAACTCTTACACAGGAAGTCGTAGCCGTTCACGTAGTCGCTCACCGCGCTCCTTATCACGTACTAGAAGCCGTTCCTACTCTTACTCTTCCAGAAGTCGCTCTCGTTCTTATAGCAGGAGTCAGTCGCGCTCTTTATCCTACTCACGTAGCCGTTCTCGTTCTCCATACTCTCGTAGAAGACGTTCTCTGTCACCCCTTCCTACGAAAATTCAAGTCAACAAACTGACAAAAAATGTCACTGATTCTCACTTACAGGAAATCTTCGGCACGTTCGGACGAATCAGAAGCGTTGAAATGGCGTTAGATGAAAAATGTAAGTATTTTTTGCATTATTTGACAATCGAAAAAGAACGAATATTAATATTGTTCCTTAGGGCAAATGAACAAGGGTATGGCCTTTATTGATTTTGACACCAGGGCCGAAGCAGAAAGGGCTATAAGTTATATGGATGGTGTAAGTTTTATTGCAGTTGTATGTATTTGTAAATAAATTTCATCTAATTTATTCAATCTCTTCGATTTTGTTTGTTAAAGGGGCAACTTGATGGTGCAGTGCTCACTTGCACATTTGTTCCACGTCGGCCACCCACACCACCGCCACCTAGACGTAGAGGTATTACTTAATAAATACATTGAAGTAGACTCGTTTTAGTTATGATCTAACTTATTTGCTCAACAATTCTAATATAGGTGGAAGGTACAACTCTCCACCCCCTCCACCTCGACGTTTTGCGGCGAGCAGCTACCGTGCTCGCGGAAGGTCCCCGTTACGACGCTATTCAAGATCACGATCTAGATCCCCTATACGTCGTAGACGTTCCTATTCTTATAGTGATTCTTACAGCTCTAGGAGCAGATCTAGATCACCATACTCGAGAAGTCGTAGCAGAAGCTATTCTATAAGAAGTCGTTCCAGAAGTCGCAGTCGAAGCAGGAGTCGTGGTCGTTATTAACCTAACAAATCAAACGCTTCTTATACTTTTTTTTTTTTTCTAAATTTCATTTACTGCTTAAAATATACCTGATAATATTTTATACATCAATTGTGACTATTACTTATTCCCTGCTACTTATTCCCAGTTTACTGACAAAATGATTGCTTCTAGGAATACTTTGAACTATGTACCGTAAGCATTGGATGCTGGGAAAAATCGATGATACAATCTTAGTAAAATGGTGCTTTTTTTTTTGTGTGCAATATCGCATTATAACTATTAAATTTCGTTGAATTATTGAACAAGTTTCTTTTCTTGATTTCTGCAGTAGATCTGCATCTTTTTACCACCAAAGTATTGCAATCCTTGAAAACTTTAGAGATAATGTAAGAGTAATTCAATTTCAAATGGTCCGTTCAAATTTACAATTTAGCTAACTATCAATTTGGTATCAATCTATATAATTGATGCATTCATCTCTTTAGATTGACATGTTTATTTTTTCTAGCATTATAATGGTTTGACCAATTGTTATAACTTTTTCACTTGTTGAAATGCTATGAATAAATTGTAGACTAGTTCGATAAACTAGAATTCGCTTTTATAATATTAATTACGTTGAAACAATTGTTCAAATTCTTTTCAGAAGAATAAAGAGAATGCCTGTTACTTTTTAAAAATTATCATCCTTTACACCATTTTGCAGGCTGCAAATTATCATGGTTGATCTATAATCAAGGTATCTAACTACATTGGATCGTAGTCTATATATCAGTTCATTTATAAGCTACACTATAATAATGGGACGATGTAAGGCAGTGTTGGCATTTGGACCATGTCCAATAAAATTTTATTTGGACATGGGCTAATCCAAATAGTGTCCATGTCCAAATTTTGTATATATTGATCAATGTTCAAAAAATTTTTTTAAAAAAAGTATCCTGACGTAGTGACGGGCAATTTACGGATTTCTCCAATATCCTGCATGGAATAAAGATGGTTCACTCATGTCTTTGCTAAGATCTTTCGAAATGTCGCCCATGTTTTACGTTCAATGACTTTCTATCCGGAATATTTCGGAATAGTAAAGCATTCGATTTTTTTTGGACTAAGTATCTATGTCCAATAAAAAAATATGGACAATATGGACATAGTTCATAAATGTTTATGTTCATTGGTCCATATTGTTTATGTTCATTGGTCTATATTGTTCATGTTCATATTCTGCCAACACTGATGCAAAGAATACAGTGCAAATAAACAAGCTTTTAATTAATAAAAATATTAGAGATTAATTTTTTATCTATAATGCTATTATATTTAAAATTGCAAATATGCATAGATATTGCTATTTTTCAAACTTTATTTATAAAAATTTTTTTTGGAATTTTAACAAAAATCTTTTGTAAAATTATATATTTTTTTTTGGAAGTTTTGTTTTTATTATACTTTTTAGATAGTACCAAAAATTAAATATTATACTGTATATAAGTGTTACTAAAAAAAAATCTGAAAATTTAAATATAAGTTATATTTAAATTTTTAGGTTTTTTTGGATATTCTATAGAATAGG